AACACAAAATCAGAACATGCCATCAATAGATTCTGAGGTTATAACCTGATGCCATGTTTTCTCCAGATAGTTATCAAGAAATAAAACATTATTGATTCTATCACATTTCCTTCCTCCCTACGAGTAACCATAATCATAAATTCAGTGCACACTATATCCATGCATATTTTAAACTTTTACTACCAAAAGTCAATTTTTCAAGTATTCAAGACTATACTGTCCAATATAAGACAGCCACTGTTCACATGGGGCTATTGAGCAGCGGAATGTGGCTAATCTAAATTAAGGTGTATCATAAGTATAAAATACACACCAGATTTCACAAAATTACTACCAAAACTGTAAAATATCTCATGGGTCATTTTCATATTGATTATATGTTGAAATAATTTTTGAACATATTGAGTTAAAGAATATATTATTAAAATTAATCTCACTGGCGTTTTTTGGTTTGTTTTTGTTTTTACTTTTTATTTTATTTTTTTTTTTTTTACTATCTTGTATATTTTATTTTATTTTATTTTTTTTTTTTTACAAATAGTTTATTGTCAAATTAGTTTCTACATAACACTCAGTGCTCATCCCCAAAGTGCCCTCCTTCATGCCCATTCCCCCCTCCCCCCCCCATCCATCAGTCCTCAGTTTTTGTCAGCATTCAAGAGTCTCTCATGGTTTGCCTCTCTCCCTTTCCCCCACCATTTCCGCCCTTCTTCTCCCCCTTGGTCCTCCGTCAAGTTCCTCCTAATCCTCCTATACGTGCAAACATATGGTATCCACCGCAGCAACTTCTTACTTGACACATCCCAAAAAGCAAGGGAATTGAGAGCAAAAATAAACTGTTGGGACCTCATCAAGATTAAAAGCTTCTGCACAGCAAAGGAAACAACCCAGAAAATTAATAGGCAACCAACGGAATGGGAAAAGATTGTTTTTACTTTTTAAATGGTAGTTACTTGAAAGTGTTAAATTACATATACAGCTTTCATTGAAATTCACTGGACACTGGTCTAGAGATCTTATGAGGGGGCCTCCTTGTAAAGGGAAATACCATCTAATTGATACTGTTTGTTAATCTGGTTTTTCATTTACTCAAACTTGCCTAACATGAAGAACGTGAGATTTTGTACTCACTTTTTGTATCTTTAAATATTTGCCTGCTAAAATGTTCCAGGAGGGATCTAAAATCCTTTACTCAGTTCACATAGCAGGAATAGCATGAGTCAGACTTCTTTCACTACTAGTCAGCAGATGTTGAAACCCTGGGTTGTTTTAGCTGAGAGGACCTTCTAGAACTGCCTCTGCTCCCACCCTCTTCTGTTTACCAGTGGAAGCTGAGGCCAGAGGTGGGGGCGTTGGTGATGAGGAGGGCTAAGAGATGGGTCTCCTCCGACTTCCAAACTGGCTTCTTGGAAATACAGAATTCTTTTTTCATTACAGCCATTTTAGGTGCTTTTGATTCTTACTCAATATTTTAATGATTCCTGACTAATAGTTAGAACTCAAATCAGGATGTCAAGTAAGCAAAAAATGTTTTTTTTCTTATATACGGTTTTATTTCTGTAAGAGAATCGATGCCATTCGCAGAGAAACTTGCAAATAACTGAGTTTCTTGTGCTAGTGGTAGTGAGATGAGAGAGAGGGAGAGAAGGGTACAGGACACTGTGCTGGGGGGAAGGAGACCCAGATCTAACTCAGCCACTTTCCAGATGTGTGACTTCAGAAGGCTGCAGGTAAGTGCTAGGGCTTTGGGACCAAGGGGCCAAGTCCTACCTCTTTACTGTTTAACTTGGACTGATTATCTCCATTTCTCATAATCTGTTTTCTGTCTGGAAATTGTACATAGTAATGCTCACCTCACAGGTTTGTTGAGAGGATTAAATGAGATACGGCGTCTCAGGTTCTCACTGAATGGAGCTAGTTTTATGAGCTAACAGGTGAGATGAGATGCAATGAATGGTTTTTGAGATCTTTTTTACAAAAATTAATTATAAGAATATTTAACCATTGATTTAGTGGAAATCCTGGCTTTTGAAGACTTTTAACCAGTTTTAAGATGTGAAGGACCTTTTGGTCACAGAATCTGCTTTTCATCGAGACAACCCAGCCTATCATGAAGAACTGCACTGTCAACAAATGTTTTCAGACCATTCAGAGACTCACTCTGAAATGAAAAGAGGTAACATGAGAAGAAACTGCTCTGAGTATGAGCTTTTAATTGCTGTACTAGAGTGTTCTCGACATTCCTAGAGTTACATTAGCTATGTCTAACTGAACAGCAGTTTTGTTGGAGCATGGACGTGGCCCAGAGACAGAGAACTAGTAGATAAACAGTCACTACAAATTAAAGTAGAATTTTCCAAAGGGTGTTCTTATCAGAACTCATGGGAAAAAAAGTTATAGGTTCCAATGAGATTAGGAAACTCTGCAAATCACCATATATACCCAGATACAGGGCAAAACTGAATATCAGACCATCTTTTATTTTCCCATAAAGAAGTTTTTAAAAAGCTCTTTGAGGGGGGCCTAGGCAGCTCAGTCGGTTGAGCATCTGACTTCAGCTGAGGACATGATCACACAATTCATGGGGTTTGAGCCCTTCATCGGGCTCTGTGCTGACAGCTAGCTCAGAGCCTAGAGCCTGTTTCAGATTCTGTGTCTCCCTCTCTCTCTAACCCTCCCCTGCTCAGCCGCTCACTCGCTCTCTCTCTCAAAAATAAATAAACATTTTACAAAAATTTTTAAAAGCTCTCTGACATTAATATACAAACTTTGAATGATGGGCACATTTTAATCACATTCTATAAAATTTTAATACATCAATTTTGAAATAAGTCTTTCCTCCCATTCATTTATTTTTAAATATATTCATGCTTTTTGGACACCAATATCTTTGCTACTACTAAAAAGACACCTTTTGAGCCATCAAAAGTTTCCCACAGCTCATCTTCTCTTCCATTTGAGTTTGGATACAACATTTTTGTAGCCATGTATGATGCTGTCTGGAAAAATTTCATTCAGTCACAAGTATCAATTCACCTAAGACAAAGACAGTATTTGAACACTTCTCTTTCAAGTATATGCTAATGATCCCCACAACTCTAAACACTATGTATGTTCATTTAGAATGCCCTTGAAAAGGTTTGTTAACTGTACCATTCAGAACTAGAAATTGTGAGGCCAACTTTCCTAGATTAATACATCTGTGTTCAGAAAAGAAATTGTTTTTCGCTCCCCCAGAAAAATTTTTTAAACAATTCTGTCAGCTAACATTAGCTGGGTTGTTTCTGACTATTGTCTTCCCCCATGCAGTACTTGGTTGTTCAAAATAAAGTATTTGAGAAAATGCCCTATTGCCTGATAGATAAAGTAAGGGCTCAACTCTAAGGCAATTTCCTCACTTCTCAATGATAATTTGAGAGCTAATAATTTTGTGTATACCCCTTTCTTGGAGGCTCACAGACTTTAGCATATCACAGAGATTTTTAGAAGTAAAACAGGAGTGAAACCGATTTAACTTTATATAATCCAGCAATCTCCAAAATTGTTCACCTAGATATCCTTTGGAAAAGAGATGGCCTGTTCTAACTTGATGAATTGAGTTAATTCATCATTAACTCATTAATCAAATTAAAATCATTAAATTTTCATTTACTTCTTACCTAGATTATGTTCAGTAATGTTACTAAGGTGAGAATGGATTTTGGATACCCTTGATATAAAAATTAAGGGGAAAATGGTAAATAATTAGTAACATGAGGGGCCCCTGGGTGGCTCAGTCAGTTAGGCATCCAACTTCAGCTCAGGTCATGATCTTGCAGTCTGGGAGTTTGAGCCCCGTGTCAGGCTCTGTGCTGACAGCTCAGAGCCTGGAGCCTGCTTTGAATTCGGTGTATGTGTCTCTCTCCGCTCCTCTCCCACGTCCACTCTGTGTGTGTATGTCTCTCTCTCTCTCAAAAATAAATAAATATTAAAAATTCTTTAAAAAAAAATAATGAGTAACATGAAACCAGTCTTTGAAAGCATCCAGCAAGTAGTTATTTGGTGCCTTTGAAAAGGTAAGAAGAAGAAAAACCATATACATGGTGGTCAGGGTAGAGCAATGTCCTAACTATCTTCGAATAACTCATTGTCCATGACTACAAGGAGCCTATGCTCTGGTTGGGAAAGAAAGACAGAAAAAGCTATGCATGAATCCCTTGTGGGCACTGTGCTGTGACAGAAGTTTATTTAGTCTGAGAGGATGGTTAGTTTGACATAGGAAGTCAGATAAGACTTTATAAGGCACATGGGGCAGAGGTTAGTCTTAGAAAGTTGCACCAAAAATATGTTCACATATAATACGAAAACAAATACCAGGTAAAATAGAATTCCACTATTAGATAGACTCCAATTGTCCAGTCAGTATCAGGTCCTCTCTACCCCCAAACCTACCCTGACCACCCCCCCCTGCCCAAATATATTCTGTGATAAAACTGTTAGTAATACACAGAAAGGGGAAGGGGAGTACCTGACATTTAACTTAGGGTGTCATGTCTACTTTTCACAACAGACCTTGTAGGCAGGCCTTATCATGCCCATTTCAGGCCAGCTAGGCACCCCAGACCATAAAAGTTTAAGATCACCTCCAATTCTAAGATTCTTTGATTCTATAATAGACAGCCTTTCATATTAGCCTAAGAAAGACAGAGATTAGGAAGAGATTCTATTCTCAACAAGGTTAAAAACCATGGTTCAAAGGTATCAACCATAATTAGCACTTCAGTCATCAATAAATAGGTAAAGAAAGATATGGGAATGGGGGAAAAGAAGGGGACGAAAGATACCAAAATTCATTCTAGGAGACACCACAGGTTCCACCTACTGTGAAGACTGGCTCTTACCCCGGAAGAGACACTATGCCTGGAGACATCATGCTCAACAACAGCTTGGTTGGTTAGGTGTGCTGAGGGTAACCTCTGGGACACCTTGAGAACCTGCCTATCTCTCTCCTTCTCTTTCAGATGTTCACCTCCACAATATTTGCTGTGATTGGATTCTTGGGTGCTGGATACTCATTTGTCATCTCAGCCATCTCAATCAACAGGGGTCCTAAATGTCGCATGGACAATAGCACGTGGGGCTACCCCTTCCACGACGGGTAAGGTACACCCTGTGATGCCCATGTGTCCCCATAAGAAGGCAGGTTAATGGCAGGTAAATGACCCACGGGAGACCCTGCGCAGGTCTGGTCACCTTCATTTGACTAGCCTCAGGCATGTTGCTCCTCTGAGGCAGAGCTGGAGAGAAGTGGAGTGAACTTGCCTCACTCTAATTTCTCTTTTTTTAAATGTTTAAATGTTTTTAAATGTTTATTTATTTTTGAGAGAGAGACAGAGAGAGACAAAGAGGCACAGAATGCGAGCAGGCAAAAGGCAGAGAGAGAGAGAGAGACCCAGAGTCCGAAGCAGGCTCCAGGCTCCCAGCTGTCAGCACAGAGCCCGATGCAGGGCTCGAACTCACGAATCCTGAGATCATGACCTGAGCTGTAATTGGACGCTTAACAGACTGAGCCACCCAGGCACCCCTGTAACTGCTCTTTTTGACAGGAGAAAAAACCAAGAGAGGGTGCTTCCGCTGGCCTGAGAGAGGAAGATTTGCAGTGCCATTGCTGACACCCTAACATTTATGAGCAGCAACATGAGGCAACTAATAATATTGATTAACAGAAAGTGGTGGCTTCCAGTGAAAATCTTGTAATAGAAAATGAGAATGATTACTCACTAACAGGGCTCAAAGGCTTTCGCTCATACTCCAAATTGTCTATGACTAAACAATCTTTTAAGGTGCACATTTATGGGAAACTCCATTGAAAATACTGTAGACTCTTCATGAGTTAATATTAAGAGAACTCATTTAAATAACACTGCATATTGTCATGGAACTCTGTAGCTGATAAAGAACTTTTCCCCCCACAAATTTATTATTTAATCCCCACTGTAATCCCAAGAGGTAGTTACTTCTTGCCAAAGCAGGCTTAATAAGTTTGGCTTGCTTGCTCAAAGTTACGCAGCTAGTTAAGGGCAGAGGCGGGGCTCCAACTCCTATCTCCCAAGTTTCGAGTTCTAGTGTCTAGGTTACGCATCCTTCTGCCCTTAGACGGCCCTGTCCACCACAGTCGCCAGTAGCCATATGTCGCTGTTCCAACTTAAACTCATTTAAATAAAATAAAGTTAACATCCCTCAATCACACTAGTCACATTTCAAGTACCAGCCGCGACATGTGTCTAGTAGCAACTGAACTGACCCTCACAGATACAGGACATTTCCATTGTCACAGACAGTCTATGAGTCAGTGCTGCACCAGCCCCTGACCTTGAGGAGGGCCTGCACCTTTTCTGCTTTGTTCATTACGACGGAGCACAGTGACCGACACATCTAGGTGGTCAGGGAATGTGGTTGTGGGGTTCCCTTACATTGGAGGATGGGTCCGTGCCTAGAGAAATCTGTAGAATACCAGTTGATTAACTCTAATATTAATTTACAATGAGAGTCTAAAGAACTTCAAGAGCAGGCTTTTGATGGGGAGATGGAGGGCACTGGGTCTGTTATGATATAGGTCACAAGTGTTTCATGTAAAATATCATCCCTTCCTCTAGAGTTAAAGAGGAGTACAGGCCTCTAATATCCCCATCACGTGCAGGGATTCCCAAAGGCAATGGCTGTAGTGTGGAAAGTCCCCTTACCTTGCAGGGGACTGCTGGGGCCCCGCCGCCATGGGGTTAGCCTACGGGAGCAAAGAAATCAGACACCAGATCCATTTCCTGAGGTTCCTCCCCTGATAGTTTATAAAACTACAGATTATATCTCCTTCCAAGGACCCTTCTCCTAGTATTCCCATCAACAGCAGAAGTGCAGTATTAAACATGCTTTTGTATTTATTGTTACGTGAATGATACTACCCTTGGCCAACTCAAAATTAATTAGAATAAATCTATGTCCAAAACAAAGGACGGAGAAAGGAAACACAAACTTGCCCAGTAACAGCCCAAGGCGGTACAATGGCATTAGACCCTGACACCCTCCCCTGGCACACCCGCTCCCGGCTTGGGATGAAATGGGACCTATGCCCAAGGTCAGGAGAGTGACAGCTGGTCTGTGGGCCACTACAGGAAACGCCAGCCTGGGGGAAGGACAGGAAACTACTTTTCAAAGTCCTCTGTTTGTCCTTCTGGTGAAGCCAGTTTTCATGGACATGACAGCCCTTTATTGCACGTTACTCTGTGATAGATGTTACATACATGTTATTGGATCTTCTCACAACTAGCCCATTCATTAACTTAGATCAGAGGGGATTAACCGTACAAACAGGCAAGCAGGGCATTTCAGAATTCTCCACCTTCCTCTGTTCATCGTAGGGCTTTGATAATTATCTGAGAGGAGAGAGGTTCAAATGGCCCCATGTTTGCATAGTGGCTTCAAACTATAATGTGATCGAATATCTCTGTGTAGGGGTTTATTACAAAACCATGTAGACTACACTTTCCAGGTGACTGATAGGCTCTTTAAGAGTGATTTTGACTATTCGTATTTTGATTTGTTTTGTTCTCTTCATGCTCTGACTTTGGAATTTAATGTCACGGAAGGTGCAAGTCCTCTCTCTGTACAAGGTGTGAAATATGCTAAGATTGGCACAGGAAGGGCTCTCACGAGGGGGATCTAGGCGGAGTGTGTCACACGGCATCCTCTTTGCCACCTGGCAGGCTCCCCTCGGCATTCCATTGTCTCCTACATCCTGTGTCCCATCTACTCAGGCAAGAACTCACATTCCTTTATGACCTTATCTCCCACATCAGCTCCAAGCCTCCCCTCAGACTGCAGGGGCTCATCTGGAATTTTTATAACAGTAACTGAACCTCTGTTGCTTGGTGTTTTTCCGTTAACAAAGTGCTTTCACCCACATGTTTCATTTGATCCTGACAGAAAGCTTGTGGGATTATTAACTGTCCTTCAGAGGGAAGAGAGCTGAGGCCCAGAGGGGACAAGTGGCTGGCCCAAAGAAATGGTCTTATTTTCTTCCTTCTTTCCTTCCTTCCTCTTTCTTTTCTTTCCTTTTCTCTCTTCTTTTCTTCTCTTTTTCTTTTCTTTCTTTCCTTATGTTCAATTATCTTGAGAGAAAGAGGGGGGAGAGAGAGAGAGAGAGAGAGAGAGAGAGAGAGAGAACCAGTGGGGGAGGGGCAGAGAGAGAGCGGGGGACAGAGGATCCAAAGTGGGCTCTGTGCTGACAGCAGAGAACCCATTGTGGGGCTCAAACTCACAAATGGAGTTTGTGAACAAGGTTGGACACTCAACCGACTGAGCCACCCAGGTGCCCCAGAAATGCTGTTTCTTAATGACTGAAGCTCGGATCCAATTTTTCTGAGTCTAAGTCACAGTATCTTTTCTAGAACACAAGTAATATTGATTTGCACTCTCCACTTTTCGTGTCGATTATAGATTCTGTCTAGCATAACCTAGGGGCCTCTGCTTCTGTGGGCTCTTTTGTTTATTTAAATGTTTATTTATTTCTGACAGAAAGACAAAGCATGAATGGGGGAGCAGAAGAGAGAGAGGGAGACACAGAATCCAAAGCAGGCTCCAGGCTCTGCTCAGCACAGAGCCGGATGCGGGCTTGAACCCATGAACCGCGGGATCATGACCTGAGCCGAAGTCGGCTGCCCAACCGACTGAGCCACCCAGGTGTCCCATGTGGACTCTTCTTATCCACGGGATCCCAGTGCATAAACACTGTGGTGGTTGTTGTCGTAGCTGCAAATCTAACACGTGCACAGTTACTAGTGAGGAGCAAAGATTAATCAGTTGTATAAGCCTGAACAAAAGGACCTACGACAGTTGTCACTCTTTCCTTGTTACCAAATGGCAGTGGCAGCCACTACCACTGCTCCTTCCTTCCTTCCTTTCCTTTCGTTTCTCTCTCTCTCTTTCTCTTCCTTTTCCCTTTCCTCCTCCTTCTCCCTCTTTAGGGGCTAAATGTTTTCACACACATTATCTCACTTCATCTTCCTAATAAAACTGAGAAAAATTCTTATCGCTACAGTAGAAAAACAAAACTCAAAGAGGTTAATCTGCCCAGGGCTCCACAGCTAGTAATTAGTAGAAGGACCATTTAAAAAAGCAAACTAACCCTTGGCCGGTACCCTTTGTGCTGAAGCCTATCCCAAACATGGAGCCAAGAAGGATGGATGTGGCCCCTGCCCGACAAGCATGGGGCTAGTTAGAGTGACAACACAGGACAGACCCTCACAAGGCCAAAAGGGACAAAATGGAGGAGTGCAGGGGAACCTTCTCTGAGCAGGTGACACGGGCTGGTTTGGGGAGATGAACAAAGGTGTGCCCTCCAGATAGGGAGGAGAGGCACATCTAGGCAGAGAGGTGAGCAGGACTTAAGACAGCCATGCAAAGGCCCAGCATGCTCAGAGAATGTCTGTTCACTGTGAGCCAGAAGCTCGGGGAGGAATGTAGGGGAGAGGACCAGAAAGGGTCACCGGCTGGGGACGTGATTAACAGGTAGGCCAGAACTTTGGGACCTCAGGGACCAGTAGAAGACTTCAAGCTGGACATGCCACCGCCACCTGGGACTTCTAGGACAACGGTGACGTCAGTGATGTGGAGGATGAACAGGTGCTCAGACAGAAGAGATGAAAGTAGGAGGTTGGGATGATAATCCTGATAAGGTTATAAACACCCGCGAGGCAGTGGAATGGGGGCTCAAAAGGACACAGATTTCAGAGAAGATCTGAGATGGAATCATCAGGATTAGGTGTGAAGAAACAGGGGGAAACATTTCCCTCGGAAATATTTGTTGGTCATCTTGTTAAAAGAGCAAAGACAGTTAACTTTTTCTGTCATGAGGACCATACTAAAGAGGCATCCTAGAGGGAAAAAGAAACCTAAGACACTTTGAGATACACCCTCTGGGCTTCCTTTGAAGTAGGACCTCCTCCCATCCAAGGTCTTCCTTTCTGAAACAATTGGCTACCTCCACCTTGACCATGAGCTGCTGAAAGGGAAGCAGCTGGCACAGGGCATGGGGGCAGCCACAGGGGAGAGAGCCAGAGGAAAGGCCAAGGGCTGTTAGCAGTGGGGGAGGGACAAGGGACACGGCCAAGCATAGCACTCCTCAGTCTGGCTGTAACCCTCTCTGCTCCCTGGGGAGGGTGAGGTGTGGCGAGCTCTCTCACACCAAAACACATAAGTGAGTACAGTAAGTGTTCCGCCTGCACTTTCGGTGTAGACCATCTGCATTTGTACTTCAAAGATTACTCAGCAGCAAGGAACCCCCATAAGCTGCTCTTAAACACGTTCCCTAGCGCTGAAAGCCACACTGACAGAGGGATACAGGCTTGCGCCGGAGATTTCCAACTTTCGTGAAGCGGGAAACACTCCTGGATGTCACCCAGCCTTGCTCTTAGCCTGACTGGACTTAGCTACCAGTCCTACCTCTGCCACATGCTAGTGGTGTGATCTCGGGAAATACATTAATCTCTCAGCTCTTCCTCCGTCAAATGGGGTAACAGCAAGCCCTACTTCCCAGATCCAGACAAGAACGAAAGAACACAATGTACAGAAAGTCTTTGGCATATGCTGTGTGCTAAACATTCGGCCTTATTATTCATTTTTATGAATATAACTTGTTACTGTGAACAGAATTCATTATTATGCATTAGAGCTTTCTGAAATGTTATGCTTTTATGACTCTGTGATTTAATTTCTTTTCGGCCAGTCACATGAAGGTTCAAAGAGACCATTCTCTTTATCATGGTACCGGTGAACCTTAATTGACAAGCTATTATAAATACATTGTATAAATCAAATGTAATAAATAAATCATATTTCAAATATACTGAAGGGATATCATCACTCAAACATAGGAGGTTTGTGTTATGATTAAGAACATTAGCTGTGGGGGCGCCTGGGTGGCTTAGTCGGTTAAGCGGCCGACTTTCGCTTAAGTCATGATCTCGCGGTTCGTGGGTTCGAGCCCCGCGTCGGGCTCTGTGCTGACTGCCAGCTCAGAGCCTGGAGCCTGTTTCAGTCTGTGACTCCCTCTCTCTCTAACCCTCCCCTGCTCACGCTGTCTCTCTCTCTCTCTTAGAAATAAATAAAACATTAAAAATTTAAAAAAAGAAAAAAAAAACAACATTAGCTGTGGAGGCAGACCGAAGACCAAATCCAGGCATTTCCATTCACTCGCCTCAACCTCTTAATCTGTGTATGAGTATATGTTTGCTCATTCAGTGAATGTTTCGTGGCAGCTACTGTGTGCAAGGCATCGTTCAAGTAAAATAACACCTCCTTGTAGATTTGGAAAGATGCTGTAAAGCACGTGGGCAGGACCAGTACACGACAGCGGCCGTTCTTTATTGATCACTCCCTGTGCTAGAACTGGGGACAGAGTCAGGAGACGTGGTCTCTGCCCACATGGGCGTACAGTCCTGAAAAGAAAAACGGGCAAATGGACAGACGGTGATAGCACAGGGTCCTAGGTGCCCTTTCAGAGGGAGTACAGGATGCTGGGAAGCACAGAAGGGCTACCAAAGCCAGCTGAGGGAGGGAGGAGCATCGGGGAGCCTGTCCCAGAAGATGTGACCACAGAACCAGCCAGGCAGAGTGGGCCAGGCAAAGTATTCAGGAACCCCTGTTCCTTCCGTCAGCTGCCTCTGTTGCTTTCAAGAGGTGAGTCTCACGAAATCCATGGCTTTCTATATGGATGTGGTGGGATTACTACAGCTCAGGTAGAAATGCCCTTCACAATAATAGGATGCTTTAAAACTCCAGTCAAGCGAATTTAAATTGCCTCAGCTCTCCTGGCTTCACAGAATATGGAAACATGATTAGCTAATGGGTCCGCTGTCTTATGGGGTTGGAGAGCTGGCCACAACAATCATTGCCAGAATCTTGGGGAGTCTCAGAGCCTGAGAGTCTGAGAGGAGAGAAGGGTTTGGAATGAGTATTCATGGTGGTTTGTGAGGGGTGAGGTGGGTGGGACTGAGAGGATTTCTCCAGGTGCCCAAACTCAACCCTTACTTCCTAGTTCCCCCGTGAGCGGTTCACCAATCTCACCGCCAGGAGGTGCTGTCATCCCATGTCTGCACAAACTCTTGCAGAGGGAAAAACTCTGGATTGCCAATTACTTCATCTTAGAATCTTATCTTTATAAAATGCACCTGGAAAATATTGTGTCTTCGTGACTTTCTATAGTGAAGTTTGGAAATTGTAAAGATAGACAGGACTTCATTGCAAATGGCAGAACAGAAAGTTGAGTGTTTACAAGTAATTAATAAAAGGAAGTTTTCTACAACAGTACGTAAGATGTATTATCTCTGTGAATCTTCACAATTGTGAGGTTGTTCTCAGCCCATTTTATAAAGAACTGATGCTATGGGGTAGGGGTAAGAAACCTGTACAAGGAATACACAGCTAGTAAGATGAATACTTGGATTCAAACCCAGGCCCAACTTGATCCAAAATACCAGGCTCTTTCCTTTAGACCACACTGTTAAGTAAAATGATAAAAATACTAGAGTTTAGTGAGCACTTACTATATACTAGGCACTGTTCTAAGCACTTCACTAGTATTAATTCAGGTAATTGTCACAACAACCCTACAATTTGATAGTATTGTTCCCACTTTACAGATAAGTACACAAGTCACACAGCTAATGAGCAGCTAGAAACTGCTAGTATGGAAAGGTGAATCGATGCTCCAAACAATGCAGTGCTTGACTTCTAAATAAGAGCAAAATGTTCCTTCTTTCCTTTATCCCTTCTGATCTGTTTAACTCTAGGGTATCTGCCATCATTCCAAAGATTTTCAAAAATCTTAATATGGAATGTATTTAAAATGAGTACTGATACACTGGAGAATTCATCAGAAACAGGGATCGTCAAAAAGATCTGGAAACAGTAAGGTAGACGTTAATTTACTAGCCAGACTGAGTTTCCCATTGAGCCCTTGAAAGAACAGAGGATACATAAAAGAAGAGGTAGAGATGAATTTGTGGCTCTAAAATTTGTGAGAAGAAATCCACAGCATTTATCTATTTTACTCTTATTTCTGTCTTAAGGATGATAGATTTCCCATTTCTCCTTCAAAACACAATGCCCTTTATATTGTACTGAACTCCATATATATATATGTGTGTGTGTGTGTGTGTGTGTGTGTGTGTGTGTGTGTTATAAAATATTACAGTTTCTCCTGTTTCAAAAACTATGTATTAAGGCAGCAGATTACTTCTTCCTTTTAATTAATTAAATCTTTTTGCATGTGGAATCCCTACATGTTAGCAAAACTAGAGTTGAGCAAAATTGGCTAGAATTAGGCCTTAAAACATTAAGCTCTTCCCTTTAACTATCCCTTTGACATGATTGTACTTTACAAGGCTTCAGATGGCCACTAGACTCGACAGATAATTTGTCAAAAGTCCAAATGGTCCCTAACAACCAGCGGCAGGATAATGGCCATGAACGCTTCTGAGAGCCTACTCCCACAGTGTCTTCATTTTCCTGGTCCCATCATAGATACTGGATTTGCCCATCCTTTAGGTCAGCTCACAACAATCACTCTGTCACTTAGCAACTATGCAACCTAGGGGAAGTCACTTAACCTCTCTGTGCCTCAATGTCCTTATTTGTGAAATGGAAGGCTTCTCATAAGGTTTCTAGGAGAAAAAAAATGAGTGGATATCTGCACAATGTTTAGAACAGAGAGGGCCTGGCACATAGTATATACTTAAAAAAAATGTTAGGTGTTGTTTTTAAAATTGTTTTTATGGGATATGTTTCCTTTTTTTTCTTTTTTCAAATTTAATAGAGAAAGAGAGAGAGAGAATGTGTGTGTGTGTGTGTGTGTGTGTGTGTGTGTGTGTGTGTGTGAGTGAATGGGGGAGAGGGGCTGAGGGAGAGAGAGAATCTTAAGCAGGCTCCATGCTCGGCTTGGAGCCCAATGTGGGGCATGATCCAATGACCCTGGGATTATGACCTGAGCAAAATCAAGAGTCAGATGCTCAACCAACTGAGCTACCCAGGTGCCCCATTAAGGGACATTTCTCTCATGAAGCTTATGTTTGGGATGGAAAGTACTGCAAAAGAAAAATCATTATGGTGTCTTTGTAGCCCAGCATACTGCATACGTTTTACAAATGGCTCCTCTCTCCTCCATATTTCGGACAGGGATTACCTCAGTGATGAGGCCTTATGGAGCAAGTGCCAGCAGCCTGCCGATGTGGTTCCTTGGAATCTGACCCTCTTCTCCATCCTGCTGGTGATAGGCGGAATCCAGATGCTTCTCTGTGCCATCCAGGTGATCAATGGTCTCCTGGGGACCCTGTGTGGAGACTGCCAGTGTTGCAGCTGTTGTGGGGTGAGTTGAAGTCCTGGTCCTTGCTTCTTGGCATGCAGGAGGCCAGGAGGGAAAGGCCAGGCAGCCTGCTCTGTCAGCTCAGGGGAATGGTGACACTATGTGGCTAGAACCCACTCCTGCTCTCTGTGCATGTTAACGTACCCAGGCTGACACTGACCAAAATTCTCAGCCTCACACCCAGTTGGCCACAATACTGGAGGCAGAGAACTCCAAATATTGTAGAAGTTTACAATAATGTTTATTTTTATTTATACGAAGATCCCCAGGAATTGGGCATTTTTCACACGCATGTATTGTCAATAACATGTCATGGTCTGGCCCAAAATGTTCTCACTATTCCCTAAATAGACCTAGACAGTGGGTTGAAGTGGCCAAGAAACACATGGAACACATGTCAGGGCGTTTTCTTTTCCCTGGAAAAGAACAGAACATACCAGTGCAAAACCTAAAATTTGATGAGATTTCTGATATAGAAGAGAGACACGGTTCTCAAGCAGCGGGGGTGGGGGAGGAGGAAATCACTGACGATTCAGTCTCCAAGTATGATTATAAACTATCAACAATATAAAAAGTAAAAATAAACATATAGACAGTAAGACTGTGCTTATTTCAACTAGTGACCAAACCAGATCAGGCAATTGCTCAAACACACACAGAATTATCTGAAAACACAAACTTAAATATGAGGCAAAAATTAAACAGAACTTGAGAGTTCCATGATTGAGGAACTATGTAAATAAATATGATTTGTGACCTATCTACTTAATATAATATTATGTCCAAACTTTATTTTTCTCTTTAAGCTGATTTATTTATTTCAAGAGATAGAACATGCATGTGGGGGATGGGCAAAGAGAGAGGGAGAAAGAGAATCCCAAGCAGGCTCTGTACTGTCAGCACAGAAAACGATGCGGGGCTCGAACTCACAAACTGTGAGATCATGACCTGAGCTGAAACCAAGAGTCGGGTTCTTAACCGACTAAGAGCCAGGTACCCCAATTATGCCCAATTTTTATTTACTTATTTTTCTTATTTATTTCTGAGAGAGAGAGAGAGACAGCATGAGCAGGGGAGGGTCAGAGAGAGAGGGAGACACAGAATCCGAAGACAGGCTCCAGGCTCCGAGGTAGCTGCCAGCACAGAGCCCGACGCAGGGCTCGAACCCATGAACCATGAGATCATGACCTGAGCCGAAGTCTGATGTTTAACTGACTGAGCCACCCAGGCACCCCAGTGCCCAGTTTTTGAATGATGCAAATAATATTCTTTAAATGTCTAACAAGCATTATATGTACATAGGTCAAAAATTATGTCTGTATGTCAGAAACACATAGAGGTATTCAGCTAGAAAGCCTGCCCTGTCTTCTGTCTACCCAGGTCCTCTCAGTCTCCACCTGATTTCTTCTATATGCTCTCAGAGTTTCTTTGTTATTGCTTTTATTCCCCCTACCTTAAAAAGATTTTTAAAACTGTACTAATATTGAAAATGTTTATGAGATAGTGTTACTTAAAAAGAGTAAGATAATAAGATACAGGGGTGCCTGGCTGGCTTGGAAGAGCATGTGACTCTTGATCTTAGAGAATTGTGGGTGCAAGCCCCACATCAGGTATAGAGATTACTTAAAACTAAAATCTTTTTTAAAAAGTAAAAATAAAAAAAGCTAGATTTTAAAAAGTATACAAATAAACAACCATGTAAATAAGAAAAAACACTGAATTGAAAAGAAACTTGGAGGAAATTCAACTCAAATATTAAATGGTCAGTAAGAAGACTCTGACTCATTTCCTTCCTTCTAGCTTATATTATTCAAAAAAAAGTTTCAGCAATCATAAATTTTAAAATATACAAAATATAAATAAAAAGGTCACCAAAATTAATGATAAAATGCATGTATTGCAAATAAATTTCACTGAGTACTGAGTTTTTTGTTCTATAAATGTTCAGTTCTATTGTGTTGTATTTAAGTTTTTTTTGGTCTTTAAACACAAATGAGAAGAAAAGAAAACCACCAGTTAGTAATCCATCAAAATTATTTTAACGGTAGAAGTTAAGAATATTGAGCAGCTAAATCTTGCGGGTCATCCAAAATGAAATCATGCTTGCTAAATCAGCTCATTCCAAACACTTTCATTATTTCCTTTTCTGCTTACACAGAAGAGAATCCTATATTTAATTAGGAAGCAAATTTTCATTACAAGATTTATTAGAAATATAGTTGCCCTTTCGGGCCGCCTGGGTGGCTTAGTCGGTTAAGCGTCCGACTTTCACTTAGGTCATGATCTCGCGGTTCGTGGGTTCAAGCCCTGTGTCGGGCTCTGTGCTGACTGCCAGCTCAGAGCCTGGAGCCTATTTCAGAGTCTGTATCTCCCTCTCTCTCTGACTCTCCCCTGCTCACACTGTCTCTCTCTCTCCTAGAAATAAATAAAAATATTTTAAAAAAAAGAAAAAGAAATACAGTTGCCCTTTAAATAGAAGATAGTAGTTTATTAAATTTGAGGATTATCTATAAATTTAAAAACATGCGCATAGGTTCCAGTAAACTGACTCTTTTCAGTGAGTGTCATCTATAGAAACACCGTATTTTAACAATTTTAATGAATAAATCACTTGATAGTCAAAAGACTCCACAGCTGTCAGTGCATGTGAACCCAAGAATCAGAAGGTAAATATATACCCCCTGAGGACCCCTTCCTTCCTTCCTTCCTTCCTCCCTCCCTCCCTCCCTCCCTCCCTTCCTTCCTTCCCTTTCCTTCTTCCCTTCCCTTCCTTCTTCTCCAACTTCTTGTTTGAAAAACTTTAACTCCACATAAAATTTAAAGGAACAGTAGAATGAACACTTGTATGCTTTCACCTAGAGCCAACTCTGGTCATATTTGCTGGCTCTCTTTCTGAACCACTGGAAAGTCATTTGCAGACATCATTAAACTTCACTACCAGATATTTCAGAGAGTGCAGCACATGAGAGCTGCACTTTTTAACAATCAGTCTGCTAAGGATTCCTTTCTTGCTGGCAGCTTGCCTCTCCTACAGCTGGTCGGCGTCCCCCGCCGTGTCCCACTGTGGGGGGACTTGGGCTCGCGGCCTAGTTCCACAACCACCTAGCTGAGTGACCCCAGCAAGCTTCCTAACTTCTCAAGTCTTAGTTACCCCAACTGCCTCCTGCCGAGCTTTTACAGTGAGTGTGCAGATCCATCCGTTCAAGCAGAAAGTATTTATCGAGAGATTCCTGAGCCTGGCACAGTCCTTAAATGAGGTAATAGATGGACACGTGCCTGCAGTACAAGCTAGGAGAGCCGGGCTGAGTGCCAGCTGTGCAGTCTTGGCATAGTCAGCTGCACGCAACTGTTTCTTTGTCTGCAAAATGTGCTTATTAAACCTACTTCCTAAGGTTGCTGAGTCTAACACGGGGTGATAACTATGCATCTACATCAACGGTCAGAAGGCTCAGAACATTGTACTGATTGTTCTTTACAAGGTATGAAAATTGGCGAGGCAGTGCAGCTTCAAGGAAAGGGGCACAGTCTCTGGGATCAATCTCTCCGGGTTCAAATCCTGGCTCCTCTGCTTATTCATTGTGGGTTTGGATACATGACTTAAGCTCTCTGTACCTCTTATCAAAAACACTTTTTAATAATAAGCGATGCAGAGGTGCCTGAGTGGCTCAGTCGGTTGAGCGCCCAACTTCGGCTCAGGTCATGATCTCTCAGTTCGTGGGTTCGAGCCCCATGTCGGACTGTGTGCTGACAGCTCAGAGCCTGGGGCCTGCTTCGGATTCTGCGTCTCCCCCTCTGTGTACCCCTCCTCCACTCACGTTCTGTCTCTGTCTCAAAAATAAATAAACATTTTAAAAAATAATAATAAACAGAGGCAAGAGAAATTGAAGCCTCAACCCTTATAACCTAAAAACAGGTAGGTGACAAATTAAAGCTGTGAAACAGGAAAGTATTGAAAGTATTCAATAGGGAACTAATACCGAGTAGGAGTAATCACGAAGAAGGTTGTGGGGGAGGGAGGAGACAAGAGGAAAGAAGAAAACAAAACGAAAAAAAGAATGATGTCATAATGAACTTTTCTACCTTCTAGGGAGAAGGACCCGTTTAAATCACCTTGATGAGCTGTTCTAACTCGACGGCAGCTGGGACATTACATTAAACTTATTCTTCTTTCTGGGGTTGGCACTTTCCGTTTGTGTCCCTAACGGACAAAGCTTAGGGACAGCAGAACTATCCTTTCCACTTCCCAAGACAGCTTAGCTCCCAGCTTAGCTCCACTTAGATGTTTATGCTATTTTCAAATACAAAATAGTTTGGCCACTTCAGTGAGGTTTCCAAATCGTTCCAATTAGCTTCCTTTTAGAATTGAAGAACAGGTTCAAAGCAAATTTTTCATGATTTTTTTTGAGTGAAAAATGTGTAAAGTCACATGTACCACCACACTGCTTCTTTGTATATAGAGCTGTTTATATCTCTGGAACTTTTACATAATTCAAGGGAGAAGAGCACATTAAAAATGAGAAACTAACACCAGTTTTTGTTTTCAAGATTTATGAGGAAAACAGAATAACTGATGTATTATAAATAATTTTATTTGGTGTCCTTTTGACTAATATGTTTGAATTACTTGTGACTAGTCTTTTGAGCCTGCTAATATTTGCAAGATTTTCTTATGTATATTAAATCATAATTCAGAGGTAATAAGATAAAGATCATGTGTGGGAGGAAGGGGAAAAGACTGAATGAGTACCACATTTTCTTCATCTTTTCTGAAAATGGCTTCTTTTGATCAGATAAAAAACAATGTTTTAGAAAAATTGTCGTGGGTAATAATTTTGTCAGCATATGACCAGGATCAAGGTAACAGGTATTATTAATTCTATATATTATATTAGGACAATAACTTTGGTTTTATGAATCAGACACTATCAGTCAAATCCATTCTGTTGATTTGAGTTCAAACCCCCGCTCTACCACACACCTGAGAAAGTTACTTCTTAAGTCTCTGTTTCCCTGTCTGTAAAAGCACTGCTGAAAAGCAACCAAATCATGCGAGACATTCTGAAGTTCCCCAAGGGTGAAACGAGGAGGCCTATGGGACTGGCAACATGACTGATGTACAATAAAAAGCATCTCAGAAGAGGTACAAACCAAAGAGCCTCACTTCTGTACCTGCCAAGCTGGTAGGCTACACTGTGTAAGTTAGACACACTGAAATTAGGTTTGTCACAGTCATCAGTAAAGCAATTAACAACTGCCTACTGCATGTTGGCCATGGGGCACTCAAGACTTGAAGTTTATATACTCTGATTTTGCCTTCACTACAGTGAGACCTCTGAGACCAGAGACCGTTTCTTGTGCTATTTAATAGGCAGAAGGAAGAAAGGCAAGCAGATAGGCACTTAAGATCACACACCTGCGGCGCCTGGATGGCTCAGTTGGGTAAGTGTCTGACTCTTGATTTTGGCTCAGGTCATGATCTCACAGTTTGTGAGTTCAAGCCCCACACTGGGCTCTGCACTGACAGTGTGGAGCCTGCTTGGGTTTCTCTCTCTCACCCTCTCTTTCTGCCCCTGCCGTATGTGCTCTCTCTCTCAAAACAAACAAACTCTAAGATCTCTCTCTCTCTCTCTCTCTTTCTCTCTTTCACATACACACACACACACACACACAGAGTTTCAAGTCAGTGCAGAACATTGGTTCTCAAACATGATTGTCAGATCACCTAAAAAATGTCCTGAAATTACAATTCCAAGGCCCCAGCCTATACCTACTGCATTTGAAAGTCTAAGCCTAAGGCATAAAAGCCTATGTTTTGTCTATTACTGAGTTTTAAAAGCCTTTCAGGTGATGCTAAAAACCAGCCAGTTTGAGCAACCGTTGACTTACATAGACTATAGACTGACAGGCACCAAGGATGAAAATGAGTCAGACACTATTCAGCCCATTGGGAACCCACCCTCTACTGATTACTATTAATACAATGCAGTACACACTAAATCCTAAAGGGTGACAAGTAATTATGGTCCAGAGGTTGAGACATCAGGCCATTAGGACTGATTCCCCGACCTAAGTTATTTGATGAGGAAATAAGAATGTAAAGGGGCACCTTAGGGGTTCAGTCGTTTAAACACCTGACTCCTGATCTGGGCTCAAATCAGGATTATCATGGTTCTGGGGTCCAGCCGTTCTTGTGTTGCTGGGCTCTGTGCAGAGTGGGGAGCCTGCCTGAGATTCTCTCTCCCTCTTCCTCTGCCCCTCCCCTGCTCAAGCTTGCTTGTGTGGGAGCATACATGTGCATGCTCTCTCTGAAAAAAATAACGTAGGGGCGCCTGGGTGGCTCAGTCGGTTAAGTGTCTGACTTCAGCTGAGGTCATGATTTCACAGTTTTTGAATTCAAGCCCCATATCAGGTTCTGTGCTGACAGCTCAGAGCCTGGAGCCTGCTTCAGATTCTGTGTCTCCCTCTCTCTCTGCCCCTTTGCCCACTGCCCCCTCTCTCAAAAATACATAAAACATTAAAAAAATTTAAATGTAGTTAAGAGCAATCAATTCCTTATTAGAGGTTTTCATTGATTTACAACTTTAAAAATGAAGAAATTGTAGTCATCATCAAATCTGTTCTATTATATAGATGAAGAATTAAAACAATTCTTTGACAAGTTTTCACACTCAAGGCCATTTTCAACTCCAATTTCCATAAAATTAAAAAATATATGGATTAGAGGGTTTATAGGATGAGACAGGAAACAAAGGGTAAAGATGTATGAGCCCCTCCCTTGGTTGATCCTCCTACACACACACACACACACACACACACACACGTTTGGTCATGAAACTGTCTAGAAGCTTCTCTTCAGGGAATCAACTTTGTGTTGATTTCACAAATATGTAACTTATTTCTTTATACTTTGGACTACAAATTCTTTGAGGCAAGGGCAGTACCTGATTCAAGTCTGTACTTCCAGTGCCTAGTAAGCAATCAATAAATTTGTTGTGTCAGTGGAGCAATATATATATATATATATATATATATATGCAGCCATGTATATATATGCACAAGAATTTGCCCTTAGTAATTGTGGGAGCTAGCAGTCTCTGAAAACATGTTGCCTTCATGTCTGAGGCTGGAGCTGAGGCCCACAGGACAGCCCAGTAGGAAGAGGAGATGGATGTAGAGTGTGAGACAGTGAGAACAAACTGGAACCCACATGAGCTAAAGCACAGAAGGATGGACAGAACCCAGGTCAGTTCTTGATGCCTCTGGCTTTGATGGTGGGGGTGCCCTGAGGAAGCCGGGGCCTTTTGTTCACGGAACTCAATACACCCTACCTGGCCCAGGGTTCAGCGAAGCTGGAGAAGACACTGAGGGAGGCTGCCGAGCGGCCGGAGGGCCCAGCAGCTGCTCTGCGTAAGCGAGAGGAGGCAGCGCACTGGCAACAGTGTGTATGAGCTACAAATCAGTGCTGCCTCCCCTCTGTTGCAAGAGCCGTTCTTGTGGTGTTCTCTAACAGGAAACATAGAAAAAGGTAGTTTGGGAAATGTAGTATGGCTTAGCCAAGATGACACATTCCAAAGCCACCATCACCAGTCTAGAGAGCGGAATGGTTCTTTCGGTTTCTTGTGTGTGTACATATATTATCTCTTGGCGTGGATCAAGTTTCCTCAAGCTCTACACAACTGACATTTGGCACAACTGATTATCAAGGTGGGGAGAGCAGTCCTGAGCACCACACGGTGTTTAGCAGCTTCCTTGACCCCTACCTGGGGGATCTAGTAGCAACCTCTCCTCCTCAGTTTTGACAAGCAAAAATATCGCCAGATATCCCTTTGGGGGACACACTCACCCACAGTTGAGGATCAACTGGTCTATATCATGTGCTGCTTGAGGAGAAGAACCATTACTTCTTTTTCCTGGAAACCAACATGGTGTTTTATGTGTAGACAGTGCTTGGTAATTAGCAGTTGAGTGCACACATATGCGCGTAAAGAAATATTTGCCTGTCACCAAAGTGACACACATACTTAAAAGGATGTGCTCTGCTCCTTAAATGTTCGAGTTCTGACTTCAGAGCACTGCTTTTCTTGGTCTAAATACTCTCCCAGATGAGCCTCACTGCTGTGGGGTTTTTTTAATGCTATTTATTTTTGAGAGACAGAGAGACCGAGTGTGAGCAGGGGAGAGGCAGAGAGAGAGGGAGACACAGAATCCCAAGCAAGCTCCAGGCTCTGCACTGTCAGCACAGAGCCCGATGCGGGGCTCAGTCTCATGAACCGTGAGACCATGACCTGAGCCGAGTCAGACACTTAACCAAATGAGCCACCCAGGTGCCCCTTCATTGCTGTGGTTTTAATAACTACATTCATGACTCCCGCATCTTTATCTCCAGCCCAGACCACTGCCCTGCCTGCTAAATATATCTGTTTTTGAACATTTCACTGGCATCTCAAAGCAACAATTCTGGGCTGAACTCTTCCAGTCCTCCGTGCATGGCTCTCTTGAAACCCTGGGGTCAGAGAGTGCCATCATCTGCATCAAGCAGACACCGAGCTACAGGAAGGACCTGTACAGGACTGTCCTAACTGCAGCCCCTACTATGCCCCTGCCCTTTCAGTGACTTTCATCACACAGTGCCCACTGGCCTCTGCGGATCCAGCACTGCCTTGCCCTGAATGTGGGAATCCTTGTCCTTGGCCCCACACACTCTTCCGAACCCCGTTCTTGAGTATGCTGTCCCACGTGCGTGGGAATCCTCTTTCCCTCCTGTTCATCACGGTAAATGCTTCTCCTTTCAGACTCCATTCAGGGCTCATGCTGTCCAGGTTATTCACACCTAATAGTCCCCCTCCCACTCTCCCACGGCCTCCTCGATACGTCAGGATGGCTTTCCTTCCATGTTATATCGCATAACACTCCTTCTTTCCCTCTGGACTGAGAACCCCTTGAGCTCAGAAACCCCATCTCATCCACGTTCAGACCTCTCCCCAGCCCTGGGCCCGGAACCTAGTAAATGTGCACTGGACGGATGCTATCATTGTCGCGATGATGTGACTGAATTATTCTGCTCAGGACAAAGAAAAAAGCTCCTCTCAAGCATTTGAGACTCAAGGATCTGTAATAGTAATAATAATAATAATAATAATAATAATAATAATAAAAACCAACCCCAGCATTTCTTGGTAACACCCAGAGTACTATACATGCCTAATTTCACTTCGTCCTCAGAACTGACCAAGTGCTCACAACTGTGCCAGCCTCACAGGCTGCTTTGTCTTCCCCAAACTTTAGACAGGCTCCTCTCCTCCCCGCAGGC